TTTAAATCCCAGTAATTAATTATTTTCTAAATAATTGAAACATAACCTGACATCTCATTATTTCTTAATCTTTTGCTTAGACCCTTTTCCAAACAATTTTAATTATTTTTTAATTGTTTTATTAATTATTTTCTAAATAATAAAAAACATAACCTGCCATCTCATTATTTCTTAATCTTTGCTTTGACTCTTTTCCAAACAATCTTAATTAACTTTAAATCCCAGTAATTAATTATTTTCTAAATAATTGAAACATAACCTGACATCTCATTATTTCTTAATCTTTGCTTTGACTGTTTTCCAAACAATCTTAATTAACTTTAAATCCCAGTAATTAATTATTTTCTAAATAATAATAAAAACATAACCTGCCACCTCATTATTTCTTAATCTTTTCTTTGACTCTTTTCCAAACAATCTTAATTAACTTTAAATCCCAGTAATTAATTATTTTCTAAATAATTGAAACTTAACCTGACATCTCATTATTTCTTAATCTTTTGCTTTGACTCTTTTCCAAACAATTTTAATTAACTTTTAATTGTTTTATTAATTATTTTCTAAATAATGGAAACATAACCTGCCACCTCATTATATATATAAAATTTTAATAAAATTTCTTTTAAAAATTTAGCAAAAACCATAATATATTTATTATTAAAGAATAACATTTTTTAGGATAAATTGAAAGAAACACTGGAAACACTTGAGGCTATGGAGTATGTTCAGTATGATCCAAATGAACCTGGATGCACTAAAAAAGAGATGAGTGGATGGGACTTGCCACCAAAAGAAGTAGCAGGAGAGATAACAAAGAAAAATTTTAATGATGTTGAAATAGAAGAAAAACATGGAATTATTGAAAATAAGAGTACACCATCTAATAGTTGCATATTGAAATTAGAAGATGAGATCCATAATCTTGAAATGGAAATTCTACAACTTCAAAAAGAGTTGGATCCAAATCTTGACGTACCACTCGATTTGATAGGAGTTGAACCTTTCCAGCCAGATCATGAACAAGTCAATATCCCACTCGATTTGATAGGAGTTGAACCTTTCCAGCCAGATGATGAACAAGTCAATGTCCCACTCGATTTAAATCGAGTTGAACCTTTCCAGCCAGATCATGAACAAGTCAATGTCCCACTCGATTTAAATCAAGTTGAACCTTTCCAGCCAGATCATGAACAAGTCAATATCCCACTCGATTTGATAGGAGTTGAACCTTTCCAGCCAGTAAGAATTCCATTCATATATGATTCTGAAGGTGATCCAGCCCCATGGATCCGTACCAGTACTAGGTCACGAATGATGACTTCACAACCTCGTCAAATAGAATTCATAAATGCATTGGAAAATATTGAAGGAGATCTAATGCCACCACGTGAAGATTTCATTCCACCACTTGAGGGACCAATTCCAGAACCACGGCATATTAGACGAATTGCTCATATTCCGCGGCATGCTAATCCGATGCTGCAAGCTCTACGACGTGCAGCACCGGTACCAAGAGCAGCACCGCGGCCAATACCAGCACCAAGAGTAGCACCGCAGCCAATACCAGCACCAAGAGCAGCACCGCGGCCAATACCAGCACCAAGAGTAGCACCGCAGCCAATACCAGCACCAAGAGCAGCATCGCGGCCAGTACCGGCTCCTAGACGAGCTATCCTCATCCCACCTAGAAATTTAAGGTTGACTTCTAGGCAACGCATTGCAAAGGCCATGCGAAAATTTGCAACTGCATCAAAAAAGAAGTAGCTTTTGATATTTTCTACGATTTTTTCAAGTTTTATTTCATTTTTTAATTATAAAGTTTTATTTTTGTTTACCTAAAGTCATAGAAAAAAGGCTAAGGAATTTTTATTATTTTTTGTTTACCTAAAGTCATAGAAAAAAGGCTAAGGAATTTTTATTATTTTCTTTGATTTACATTTTATCATATAAGTCTTTGTTAACTTCTAGGCAACGCATTGCAAAGGTCATGCAAAAATTTGCAACTACACAAAAAAAAGAAGTAGCTTTTGATATTTTATTCGACTTTTTCAAGTTTTATTTAATTTTTAATTATAAAGTTTTATTTTTGTTTACCTAAAGTCATAGTAAAAAGGCTTAAGAATTTTCATTATTTTCTTTGATTTACATTTTATCATATAAGTCTTTGTTAACTTCTAGGCAACGCATTGCAAAGGTCATGCAAAAATTTGCAACTACACAAAAAAAAAGAAGTAGCTTTTGATATTTTATTCGACTTTTTCAAGTTTTATTTAATTTTAATTATAAAGTTTTATTTTTGTTTACCTAAAGTCATAGTAAAAAGGCTTAAGAATTTTCATTATTTTCTTTGATTTACATTTTATCATATAAGTCTTTGTTAACTTCTAGGCAACGCATTGCAAAGGTCATGCAAAAATTTGCAACTACACAAAAAAAAGAAGTAGCTTTTGATATTTTATACGACTTTTTCAAGTTTTATTAAATTTTTAATTATAAAGTTTTATTTTTGTTTACCTAAAGTCATAGAAAAAAGGCTAAGGAATTTTTATTATTTTCTTTGATTTACATTTTATCATATAAGTCTTTGTTAACTTCTAGGCAACGCATTGCAAAGGTCATGCAAAAATTTGCAACTACACAAAAAAAAGAAGTAGCTTTTGATATTTTATTCGACTTTTTCAAGTGTTATTTAATTTTTAATTATAAAGTTTTATTTTTGTTTACCTAAAGTCATAGTAAAAAGGCTTAAGAATTTTCATTATTTTCTTTGATTTACATTTTATCATATAAGTCTTTGTTAACTTCTAGGCAACGCATTGCAAAGGTCATGCAAAAATTTGCAACTACACAAAAAAAAGAAGTAGCTTTTGATATTTTATACGACTTTTTCAAGTTTTATTAAATTTTTAATTATAAAGTTTTATTTTTGTTTACCTAAAGTCATAGAAAAAAGGCTTAAGAATTTTCATTATTTTCTTTGATTTACATTTTATCATATAAGTCTTTGTTAACTTCTAGGCAACGCATTGCAAAGGTCATGCAAAAATTTGCAACTACACAAAAAAAGAAGTAGCTTTTTCCTACGTTTAAGTGTTAAAGTCCTATAAAACAAAACACTTGAGAATTTTTGTTATTCACTTTTCTATTATTTTTAAGGGAAACTACCTCACAAAACATAATATCCTTTTGTTAATTTTACATTGTATTTTTCTACTTATAGGATTGTAGAAGAGTATTTTTTTTTAGTTTTGAATTCTTTGAACTGTTTATTAGTTTCAGTTTTTTTACAAAGGATTTATGTAAACTTTAACATATTTATCTTTTGCTTGGTGTTTATTATCAAATTCTTTAATCTTTTTATTATTTTCTATTTTTTTTACAAATGCATTATGTGCTATTATGAATTATGTTGCTATTTTTTACTGTCACCTACTTTAACCTTTTTTTATTAGTTTCTGCTTTTTTTACAAATAAATTGTGTAAACTTCTCCATATTTAGCTTCTGCATGGTTTTTGTCCATAACATTAAATGTGTATATGTAAAAAAGTGTAATAGTTTATTCATATGTATAAATGTGTATACTTATTTAGTTTTATTAATACATTTCTATTTTCTTTAATTGATTGTTATATTTTATTTTTCATGTATTCTTTCTTTATTATATTTTTTAAACCTTCAGATAACACATGTAATCTTTTTAACCTCACGCTCTTTTACCATAAGCTTTATATATATTCTAAAAATGTTGATAATAAGGATTTTCAAGTATTCATTGTTATTTTACAGAGTTTATACTATATTTAAAAAAATTCTTCAATTTGATTAGATGAATAGTTTAAAATTTGTTAAGCTTTAAAAAATGATTTTAAAAATAGGGGTTTATTCTTCTAGGGTTAAACGTCATTAGGTTTATAATACGGATTCAATTTTAATTTTATTCTGATTTTACTTTTATTCAACGTTAATTTAACTTTGATTCAACTTTTAGAAACATTGACTCAAGACTAAAAGAACTTTATCTTTAACATGATAATATTATTTTCATATAATTTAATACTAACTTATTATTTTATCTATTTTAATTTTTGCTTACTATTAATTATGATTTAACCTTAACCTAATTCTAACGTAATATTTAACAGATTAATAGTTTAGTAGTTTTTTAATTTTTCTAATAAAAAAAGGTTTCTTTATCGACAGTTTTTTTTAAATGGTTTTTTTTTCTATAAAAAAAGTTTTTTAGTTATGTTTTAAAACTTTTATAATTGTTAATTAAGGAAGATTTCAACTATATCAGCAATTAGTGACATCTATTAGACGTCGATTGAACTCTTTGGTTTAGAGTCAGATGTTATTCTTAAGATAATTATTCCGATATGGTTGTCGGTAAATAACTATATTTTTTGAATTTAATTTTTGATCTGAAAAAATAAGCTGCGTGAACGACCTACATTTTATAATTGTTATTTACTATATAATTATATCTATTTATATATTCATTAAAAAAAAGTATTTATATTATAAATTTGTGTATATATAAATAGAAGTCAAAATATAAATATTTTTATACAATAAATTAACAATATGTAAATTATTTTTCAAATGAATTATTTAGCATATTAATGTTCAAGGAAAGAAAATTTTTTTAATAACACTTAAACATGAAATAAATTTTATATCCTAGTTTAAAAAAATATTTCATTACATTAAGTATAAATTTAACTTAAACGTAAAAATAGAATTTTATTATTTATAAATTACGTGTTAAGAAATCTTTTCAGATTAGTCTTTTTCTCTTTATATTGTTTAAATTTTTATTTTTATACTAATAATTTTCCTTTATTAATTTATAACCTATTTATTATTTCTTTTATATTATTGATTAACGTATCTTCTTTTTAAGTGTATGTGATTAATTATTAAAGGTAAAGAGTAAATTATAATTTGTTTATTTAAGTTTCAATTATAGTTATTTACTACCAAATTTATTCCTATAAAGTATATTATTTATAATCATAATTAATATATTTTGAGAATTAAAATTTCGCGCTTTACCGACGGGTAATAAGTATCTTCATAGCTACCATCAACGGCCGCAAAGCACAATCGTAAGAGTGCATAGTGGGGAGAGCGCGTGGTGGGGTTATCTCCATAAGTATTGTGCAACACAGCAGATGAGCTCATTCAGCTCATAGCGCAGCAGAAGGTGAACGAGATGGAGAACCAGCGGTGCGAGTGCTACAACTGCCTGATGCGGATGGTGTCACAGTACAATGTAAGTATTATTAATTAAGTAAATAATTAGTAATAATTAAATTGTATTAATATAGTATATTTTAGTTACAGCACCCAGGGCGAGAGGTACCGCTCCAACCAATGCCCCCAAGGTACCCGTGGCACAGGCCAGAGACGCCACCACTGCAGCCGAGGTCGCCGACACCAGAGGCAACACCAACTCCTTCACCAGAGTCCAGGTCGCTGGAAGTGAGGTCTCCAACGCCTCCCAGGTACCCGTGGCACCGGCCAGAGACGCCACCACCCTATGTGGTGCTGGGGACGCCACCTCCACCAGAGGCGCAGCGAACAGCGTCACCGCAGCCCAGGTCGCCGACGCCACCTCCACCAGAGGCGCAGCGAACAGCGTCACCGCAGCCCAGGTCGCCGACACCACCTCCACCAGAGGCGCAGCGAACAGCGTCACCAAGGGCGCCGACACCTCCGCATGCAAATGGAGGTCAGCGACAACGACGTCGCCGCCGTCAACGCGTCGTAATAAAAATTGTCATCAATAATTATATTAATAATAAGTTATAGTTCAGATGAATGAGAAAATTATATTAATAACAAGGTATACATATACATTTATACACGTGTACGTTTGTAACGAAGTATTTAAAAAATAATTTCATAAAAATATGAATAATAAAGGTTTAAAAACAAAAACATTCTCAAGAATTATTTTGACTTACCGAAAAATTTGAGTTATCGCGCTATACCTTATCGAGAGTTGACTGTATTTTCTTTTGGTTCGGTTTGTTTATTTCATATTTTTATGTTGTGAGGTTCGACAAGTTAAATTTTTCTTTTGTTTTCTCTTACCTCTGCAAACCTCAATCGTATCCTTTTAACATTTGTTAGGCCATCGTTGGTCTCCATCCGTGGTGGACTTTTTTTCAATGGATTTTTCCGACCTTTTCCATCAGTCAAATTCTGAGCTGTGAGATTTCGGTATAGTTCTACATCTCCCTATAGATTTATTAGGCTTCTACTTACCTTTGGAATTTAAGAATTCTTTTTATGTTTCAATTAAAATACATATTTTCCTCTGTCAGGAATAATCCTGGAAGGTTTGGATCATACTCCATTTCATCAATATTTTTTTAAACAGTCCATATTGATTCATTGTTGATTCATTATTGATTCATTGTTGATTCATTATTGATTCATTATTGATTCATTATTGATTCATTATTGATTCATTATTGATTCATTATTGATTCATTGTTGATTCATTGTTGATTCATTATTGATTCATTATTGATTCATTATTGATTCATTATTGATTCATTGTTGATTCATTATTGATTCATTGTTGATTCATTGTTGATTCATTATTGATTCATTATTGATTCATTGTTGATTCATTATTGATTCATTATTGATTCATTGTTGATTCATTATTGATTCATTGTTGATTCATTATTGATTCATTATTGATTCATTGTTGATTCATTATTGATTCATTATTGATTTAATGTTAATTAAATTTAGCACTGGCAGTGTAAAGGTCTGTTGTTGAAAACAGTTTTGATTTATAGAGAGGTTCTACGCTAACATTAATCTATGATTGATTTGCTGGTTGATTGACATTTGCGTTAAGTTACTGGGGACGATTTGCACATTTAAATGAATAAATGTATGAAATGGTGATAGTATTAATAAATACTGTATTTAATTAAATACCCTCATTAATTTTAAATTTGAAGTAAGTGAGATTGAAATAGTTAAAACAAATGAATTAATATTGTCATAGTAAAGTCATAAATAAATTAAAATTGAGTCAATGTTGAGTTAAAGTTAATTCAATGTTAATTTTAAAGCTTAACAAATAAAAACTAAACTAAACTATTAACTATAACTTAACTATTCATCTAATCAAATTGAAGAATTTTTTTAAATATAGTATAAACTCTGTAAAATAACAATGAATACTTGAAAATCCTTATTATCAACATTTTTAGAATATATATAAAGCTTATGGTAAAAGAGCGTGAGGTTAAAAAGATTACATGTGTTATCTGAAGGTTTAAAAAATATAATAAAGAAAGAATACATGAAAAATAAAATATAACAATCAATTAAAGAAAATAGAAATGTATTAATAAAACTAAATAAGTATACATATTTATACATATGAATAAACTATTACACTTTTTTACATATACACATTTAATGTTATGGACAAAAAACATGCAAAAGCTAAATATGGAGAAGTTTACACAATTTATTTGTAAAAAAAGCAGAAACTAATAAAAAAAGGTTAAAGTAGGTGACAGTAAAAAATAGCAACATAATTCATAATAGCACATAATGCATTTGTAAAAAAAATAGAAAATAATAAAAAGATTAAAGAATTTGATAATAAACACCAAGCAAAAGATAAATATGTTAAAGTTTACATAAATCCTTTGTAAAAAAACTGAAACTAATAAACAGTTTAAAGAATTCAAAACTAAAAAAAATACTCTTCTACAATCCTATAAGTAGAAAAATACAATGTAAAATTAACAAAAGGATATTATGTTTTGTGAGGTAGTTTCCCTTAAAAATAATAGAAAAGTGAATAACAAAAATTCTCAAGTGTTTTGTTTTATAGGACTTTAACACTTAAACGTAGGAAAAAGCTACTTCTTTTTTTGTGTAGTTGCAAACTTTTGCATGACCTTTGCAATGCGTTGCCTAGAAGTTAACAAAGACTTATATGATAAAATGTAAATCAAAGAAAATAATGAAAATTCTTAAGCCTTTTTACTATGACTTTAGGTAAACAAAAATAAAACTTTATAATTAAAAATTAAATAAAACTTGAAAAAGTCGAATAAAATATCAAAAGCTACTTCTTTTTTTTTTGTGTAGTTGCAAATTTTTGCATGACCTTTGCAATGCGTTGCCTAGAAGTTAACAAAGACTTATATGATAAAATGTAAATCAAAGAAAATAATAAAAATTCCTTAGCCTTTTTTCTATGACTTTAGGTAAACAAAAATAAAATTTTATAATTAAAAATTTAATAAAACTTGAAAAAGTCGTATGAAATATCAAAAGCTACTTCTTTTTTTTGTGTAGTTGCAAATTTTTGCATGACCTTTGCAATGCGTTGCCTAGAAGTTAACAAAGACTTATATGATAAAATGTAAATCAAAGAAAATAATGAAAATTCTTAAGCCTTTTTACTATGACTTTAGGTAAACAAAAATAAAACTTTATAATTAAAAATTAAATAAAACTTGAAAAAGTCGAATAAAATATCAAAAGCTACTTCTTTTTTTTGATGCAGTTGCAAATTTTCGCATGGCCTTTGCAATGCGTTGCCTAGAAGTCAACCTTAAATTTCTAGGTGGGATGAGGATAGCTCGTCTAGGAGCCGGTACTGGCCGCGGTGCTGCTCTTGGTGCTGGTATTGGCTGCGGTGCTACTCTTGGTGCTGGTATTGGCCGCGGTGCTGCTCTTGGTGCTGGTATTGGCTGCGGTGCTACTCTTGGTGCTGGTATTGGCCGCGGTGCTGCTCTTGGTACCGGTGCTGCACGTCGTAGAGCTTGCAGCATCGGATTAGCATGCCGCGGAATATGAGCAATTCGTCTAATATGCCGTGGTTCTGGAATTGGTCCCTCAAGTGGTGGAATGAAATCTTCACGTGGTGGCATTAGATCTCCTTCAATATTTTCCAATGCATTTATGAATTCTATTTGACGAGGTTGTGAAGTCATCATTCGTGACCTAGTACTGGTACGGATCCATGGGGCTGGATCACCTTCAGAATCATATATGAATGGAATTCTTACTGGCTGGAAAGGTTCAACTCCTATCAAATCGAGTGGGATATTGACTTGTTCATGATCTGGCTGGAAAGGTTCAACTTGATTTAAATCGAGTGGGACATTGACTTGTTCATGATCTGGCTGGAAAGGTTCAACTCGATTTAAATCGAGTGGGACATTGACTTGTTCATCATCTGGCTGGAAAGGTTCAACTCCTATCAAATCGAGTGGGATATTGACTTGTTCATGATCTGGCTGGAAAGGTTCAACTCCTATCAAATCGAGTGGTACGTCAAGATTTGGATCCAACTCTTTTTGAAGTTGTAGAATTTCCATTTCAAGATTATGGATCTCATCTTCTAATTTCAATATGCAACTATTAGATGGTGTACTCTTATTTTCAATAATTCCATGTTTTTCTTCTATTTCAACATCATTAAAATTTTTCTTTGTTATCTCTCCTGCTACTTCTTTTGGTGGCAAGTCCCATCCACTCATCTCTTTTTTAGTGCATCCAGGTTCATTTAGATCATACTGAACATACTCCATAGCCTCAAGTGTTTCCAGTGTTTCTTTCAATTTATCCTAAAAAATGTTATTCTTTAATAATAAATATATTATGGTTTTTGCTAAATTTTTAAAAGAAATTTTATTAAAATTTTATATATATAATGAGGTGGCAGGTTATGTTTCCATTATTTAGAAAATAATTAATAAAACAATTAAAAGTTAATTAAAATTGTTTGGAAAAGAGTCAAAGCAAAAGATTAAGAAATAATGAGATGTCAGGTTATGTTTCAATTATTTAGAAAATAATTAATTACTGGGATTAAAAGTTAATTAAGATTGTTTGGAAAAGAGTCAAAGAAAAGATTAAGAAATAATGAGGTAGCAGGTTATGTTTTTATTATTATTTAGAAAATAATTAATTACTGGGATTTAAAGTTAATTAAGATTGTTTGGAAAACAGTCAAAGCAAAGATTAAGAAATAATGAGATGTCAGGTTATGTTTCAATTATTTAGAAAATAATTAATTACTGGGATTTAAAGTTAATTAAGATTGTTTGGAAAAGAGTCAAAGCAAAGATTAAGAAATAATGAGATGGCAGGTTATGTTTTTTATTATTTAGAAAATAATTAATAAAACAATTAAAAAATAATTAAAATTGTTTGGAAAAGGGTCAAAGCAAAAGATTAAGAAATAATGAGATGTCAGGTTATGTTTCAATTATTTAGAAAATAATTAATTACTGGGATTTAAAGTTAATTAAGATTGTTTGGAAAAGAGTCAAAGCAAAAGATTAAGAAATAATGAAATGTCAGGTTATGTTTCAATTATTTAGAAAATAATTAATTACTGGGATTTAAAGTTAATTAAGATTGTTTGGAAAAGATTCAAAGCAAAGATTAAGAAATTCTGAGGTGGCAGGTTATGTTTTTTTTATTATTTAGAAAATAATTATTAAAACAATTAAAAGTTAATTAAAATTGTTTGGAAAAGAGTCAAAGCAAAAGATTAAGAAATAATGAGGTGGCAGGTTATGTTTTTTTTATTATTTAGAAAATAATTATTAAAACAATTAAAAGTTAATTAAAATTGTTTGGAAAAGAGTCAAAGCAAAAGATTAAGAAATAATGAGATGTCAGGTTATGTTTCAATTATTTAGAAAATAATTAATTACTGGGATTTAAAGTTAATTAAGATTGTATGGAAAAGAGTCAAAGCAAAAGATTAAGAAATAATGAAATGTCAGGTTATGTTTCAATTATTTAGAAAATAATTAATTACTGGGATTTAAAGTTAATTAAGATTGTTTGGAAAAGATTCAAAGCAAAGATTAAGAAATTCTGATGTGGC